GTTCGAGTGCGAGCTGTGCGGGAAGACCTTCGGCCAGCCGAAGTACCTGAAGCGGCACCGGCTGGTGCACACGGGGGAGCGGCCCTACCGCTGCGCGCAGTGCGGGAAGAGCTTCAGCCTGCCGGACAGCCTCAAGCGGCACCGGCGTGTGCACACCGGCGAGCGGCCCTACGCCTGCGCCGAGTGCGGCCGCAGCTTCAGCCAGGTGCACACCCTGCGCGACCACCAGCGCATCCACACCGGCAAACGGCCCTTCCACTGCGCCGAGTGCGGCAAGAGCTTCAGCCGGCTCAGCATCCTGAAGGAGCACCGCCGCATCCACACCGGGGAGAAGCCGCACCGCTGCCCGGCCTGCGGCGAGACCTTCCGCTACCTGAGGACCTTCAAGAGGCACAAGCAGGGGCACCTGGGATAGCAGCGCTCGCTGGGGGGGCGAAGACGACATCTTCGTTTTGTTGCTCCGGAACTCCCTGCAACTCCCAAGTTCCGCCTACGTCCGTATCTTTCAGCTTCATTGGCTTTTTATTCAAGAAACAATATTAAATTCAACATTAAATTCATGCCAAAGCAGTTATATTTTATTGAATGTTTATACTGGTTTAACAGCTATAAGATAGTTTAATCATATTTCTTTCTGAGGTCTCAGGAATTTGTCTTGTTATCAAAGCTGCTGCTTTTCCGTGCACGGAATCTTCCCAAACGTACAAACGGTCCAAATAAACGTTACCAGAGGAGAGCAAGACAAATTATTCATTGTAGCTGAAAATAATTAGCTGGGACATGCCATGTTTTTCAGATTTGCGTTAGTTTTATACAGAGGTGAATAAGTACATTAACCTATCTTAATTGCTCGGTCCAGGAGCTGTAAGAGTTTATAATGGTGGCATGCAAACAATTTCTTCTTCAGCACGGACGCTGAAACACGACCCAGAAGGCGCAAGTGGACACCCTGTGGAAGTGCATTTGGAAACGAGAGCGGGAGACCCTTCTATACACACAGAGTGGTGGGAGTCTGGAACAGGTTGCCCAGCTGTGTGGTTAAAGCCGACGCCCTGGTTTCTTTTAAAAAAAACAGACGGGATAGATACTGGTATCGATGAGCAAGTCGGAAGTTCCAGAGGGGCTGGCGGCGCTCTCGTTTGTAATGGTTTTTAGGTTCCTATAGTGGGTTAATAGTCGGACCTGGACCTTCTGCCTAGCCTGACGTCATCAGAGCGCACAGCCTCACGCGCGCAGTTAGCGCATCCGGGACTCGACGCCTAGTACTAACGAGCTTTTTTTTATTTTATTATACAAAAACGAAAACTTAACAACCGAGGGCATATACATATGTTGCAGCATGACAATACAAAGACAATATCAAATGAACGAAGAAGCGCAGCAAAATAGTTACGTCCCTGTCAACAACATGAAGTTAACCTCACGCGAACATGATTCAAAACTTGAGAATTCAAAGAAGTCCACAGAGACTGAGGGTGTTCGCCCCGAGTACTCCCAAGGCATGGAAATAAAATTCAACGACCATTTTAGGTTTAAAAACGGACATCTTTGGATGTAATACGTTAGCGTACACTGACTGATCGTTCCTTAATTATTTAAGAAGGTACTATATAGAGCATATGAGTGAAAAAAACGAGGTTGTCCGCGTCTCACAAAGGATTTCTCGGTGTACATTCGCGTTCGCCTTTATCGTGCAATTAATTTCCTGTTCCGCTCCCAAATGAATGATTCTCATCACCGAGGACGCTAAAGGCTGATAATGATCGAGATTCTGACAAAGATCCTACAGCTGGCGCTCTTTAGTAACAGTTTTAAGTTCTACGTGTTAAGTTTTAGTTAAGGGCTTTTCTTGCAGGTGTTAATGCAGCTGCGGTGTGAATATGTATGAAGTACGCAACTCAAACGAAATTATGCTGGTTGAATGTACGTTTAGGGCTCTCCGACGATGTGCACATGAAGTAACTGGACAGAGAAACATATATTTATTACAGGTCTTTTGTTAATTAAAAAAAAAGGAATTAGCTCGGGCTCATTTCGAAGGTCTTGCTAAAGCTTAAGTCGGCGTGCCGAATGCCGCGATAACGTTTTCCAACCCGGCTCAACCCCCGGCCCGGAGAGCCTACTGACAAGGGCAATGTGCGAAATCGCACGCCTTCTCGACAGGAGCGTGGCCCCCTCGTCGGTCCAGGCAGCCCGGGTAAGAAAGAAAAAGAGACGCCGGAGGGGCGATCGCTGGTGGCGGAGAGCGAGGTGAGCGCGGCGCGTCAGGGGGACCGACTGCGCATCAAGACCCCCCAGCGCAGCCGGTAAGACAGCGCGACAGGTGTCCCCGGGACACCGGTCTGCTCCTCCGACTCGTGCCCACTTCCTCTCTCGGGTACGCGTGATGTTTCTCCCACTCCTCCACATATGACATGATTTTTACACGTCAGGACAAAACATCCACACAGCCTTTGTGTGCTCTCGTACGGAAGCGCTTTGCTGCCCGCAAGGAAAAAAAAAAACATCCTGAGCTCTAGCAGCGATCTCGTCAGTGTATGAACAAACCTGTTCCGCTGTGCAATGGCAGTGCCTACAAGCCACCGATAGCTTTGCTGGCCCTGTGGATTAATGTGTTCCTGACAATGTGCCACGTCGCAAAATACGCAGAGACTGACTTTCCCCTGGGGTTCATTTCTAACGAAATCTTACGGTTTCTACTTCATGGAAACAGTTTTAACCATGAGGACACTCACACATGCCCTCAAACTAGAACGGGTGTCGATTCCTCTGTTTAAAACTGAAAGGCAGATAATGATAATGTAGTTTTTGTAGGCTACGCGAAATATATATATATATTTCCCCCTTGGTGTAAGCAACGCGCTTCCGTACTGCTTGCGTCCCGCTGTCCCGAGAAGTTTAGCTTCCACCCGCGTGGTGGCGGGAAGTATTTGTATGTGAATCCCTAGCGGACGCGTGAAATAAACCGGGGAATCGGTATCACCAACGAGCTCCTTTTTCATTCCCATCCGGGTCGCACACAACCAATCGGTGCCCCTGGCCAGATTTCCACGGGCCGCTGAAACCTGAGCAGCTGGAGGAAACCCGCCCTAACGCGGGGAGCACATGCAGGCTCCACACACACAGCACCTCAGGCCCAATACTGAAGCCAGTGCCTCGGCACTGCCACTCGGCAATGCTAACCACTGCCCCACTCTGCTGGCCAGATGTCCATCAGTGGGCACAAAATATTTCCAAGTGCCGAGCAAGTCTGGTTTCTTCTCACCCCAAACGAAGCTGCATCGCCCTGGATGTGCATGTTTTTCAGGATTGTGGTTTGCAGGACTCTCGCCAGCAAGAAAAGACTGAGACATTGTTATATATCAAAAAAGGCAGCTGTGTATTTCACCGACAAGTGGACAAGAATACAAATGTTCACTATGACAAAGTGCCGAACAACTTACAAAAACAGGGCCGAGATGCCGGTCTGAAAGCACAGGAGTGTCGTCTGGAAAATATAGAGAGGTCTACACCACTGTGCGGTTATCGAGGCTTTAGGGAAAAACACTGCCTGCTTGGGGACATCTGAGACCGCGTCGTTCTCTCTGTGGGTGTGTGTGATACAGTGTGTGATAGCTTTCAGGGACAAAGGGTGTGTTGTAGAAGTGAAATGTGCAAAATGGAGGTCCTCTTATAGATGGTCCCTAGTTAGATTGGTCTGATTTTAAAAACAGGACAGGTACCCCCCTCCCAAGGTGAGTCTTGTGTCCTGTTGCCAAGTGGGGGTATCTAAATCTGAAACAGGAGGCAAGCTTTTTGTGCCACAGATGCAGGACTGGTCATAGGTAGGTCAATCTGTCGTGCGGAATTGTGCATCATATGCCCCATTTCCCAGGGTTAAAACCTGGGAAAGAGTGGCGCTTTACATAAAGGGCGGTAGGAGCGTGGAACAAGCTGCCCAGCCAGGTTGTTGAAGCCGACACCCTTCTGCCACGAAGTGGCTGGATTAACCACTAATACCCAATGGATAGATGAGGAAGGGCCTCCTCCCTTTCATAACCTTTCTTACGGTCTTAATTCGGAAGGACGAATGTTAAGGCGAACGCTCTCGTGATAAACTGCTCTTTGTTCGCCTAGAGGTTTCTAAAGGGGACTGGGATCCGGACGGCAGGCCGGGTTGGGTAACGGTTCAATCCCAGGCTGCTCGGCGCTTTGCCCGTGCTGCAGGACGACCTGCCTCACAGTCCCATTTGAACACGGGGTGACCTCCCCAGGAAGATGGTGATTGTGGGATCATTCAAAACGGAGCTTCCCTGCATTGACTGACCTTCTGTAACGATGGCAATTTCACAATGATCTGTGCGATCAGTACTAGAGAAATGGCAAATCGCCACCTTGTGTTGGGAGGGGGAAGTGTTTTCTTCCAGGACCTTTACAGTGAAACGCACTGTAGAAACTGGCATAATTGTATTTGGTGCTGAACACAGATTTGACATCTTGGTGCCAATCTTTAAGTGTTCATATTACTTCTAACACTGGCATGCTTGGCATCGAGACTCTTGGCACCAAAGACATGGGTGACACCTAAGGGAATGATTAAGAAAGACATACAGAACGTAACAGAGGAACAAAACACTTGCGATTCTACTATTAGAGCAGGGGTCCCCAATTCTGGTTGTGGGGATCCACTCTCCTGCTGTTTTTATTCCATCTGAGCCCCTCAGTTAAATAAATGAACCCTTAATGGATCTCGTAACGAGTCTGTTTCCGAACTCTTTGTTTTTGGCTCCTGAACAAGTCGCAGGCTGCCTCTTACCTGCTGTGGTTCTGAAGGAACTTAAAATCTCCCACTTTTGAGTAGAAAGACAATAACTTACAAGGGTTCCAACCAGGATTAAAGTGAAGAGCTCAGCTTCATGGATATAGGCTGGTGTGTGGGGTCACCCAGGACCAGAATTGGGGGACCCCCTGCTTTAGACTGCAGCCCCCTCATTGTTTGCCCTTTTCCTCTGTGACAGAGCATGCTGGGAGTGGCACAATTTCAGGGCATGCAAAAAATTCACCCTACAATCCCAGACCTCTTTCAGATCTCTCTCTGTCTCCCTGCTCTCTCCTGGATACTCCAATATGTTCTTTCCTTCTTCACTGGGTCAACATTAAAGGCCCACAAACACACGTTCGCACCCAGGCACTAAAGATCCAACCTGCGTCTTGCAATCATGTTTAGATTGTGTAGCTTAAAACACAAGTACATATCTAAACCTCTTAACTCTCCTCTTTGTGACCGAACCATAGAACTAGAGCTCCCATAGTTTACCAATGAGTACTTCTGAGGCATTCTGGGATTTGTAGTCAAAACCAAAAACCAATGACGTATAAACCTCCCCTTTGTGACTTAACTGTAGAACTACAGCTCCCATGAGGTAATTTTTAAGGCATTCTGGAATTTGACGTTTTAAACATATATTCTCATTTCCATAACTGTCATCTTGCTTTTTCATACAAAATCTTTGTTTATGTAAGGAACTGCTGTTTAATAACAATGCACATGATGCTCAGTGTTACTCAGTGTGGCTTAATGCACAAAGATTAACTGGCAAGTGCTGCTCTGTATGGCATTTTGGTCTCTGTAGTCCACCAGCCTCCACTGTCCTACACTTGATAAATTAAACATTCTTCACCTCTCCAGTAACACAACAGACACACAAGTGGATGACAACGCCTATCTGCCATCAACATTAATGCCTGCCGTATGGCAAGGAATGCTGGGAGGTGTAGTTTTCCTACTTTACTGGTGATCTTCCTATGCCTTCCCCTAAAAAATATCGGGCTCTGTCTCCTTTCCCTTTTAGAAGTGTAGAAATAGCTGCATTAAAAACACTTGTCACCTGAAACTGGCACTTTAAAGGCAATATCCTAATGTTGTGCAGATCGAGTATAAGCAGGAACAGATCTGGGGGAAGTCTGGATATAGAATTTGAATCTAGAAGCTTAACATACGTATCCACATGAGCCGATCTGATTCCCAAGTAAACCCGATGTTACCGAAGAACCCCGAAGGACCCCCACTGGAACGTGGAGAATCAGACTCAGATCTGAGCAGGTTAGTAGCTGCACTCTGAATGATTTTTTCACTCGTCCTCAGGTAGCACGTCTGAAATAACTTCACGCTCCACCTGAAAAGTTGCCCAGCGATCGTGTGACAGCGCTTTGACACTTTTACTCCCCCCGCCTCCACAATTGTTCGTTCCGAGCCAGAGAACGGAGTGATTAGTGCCCAGATTTCACAATGCAGTGATCAGTAACCCTTGAAATACTCAGACTGGGGGCTGAGGGCTTTGAATTTCTTGAAGGGGGCTCATGAAAGAAACCGTTCTCGTCATTCGTCTCCAGTGACGGGAGTCACGTTGACTTTTTTTTCCTTATTCACCCTTTCCGATTTTGTTTAAGGTGAAGGGAGTGTGCCTTCATTAGAATTGTGACCGTCACCTCACAGGCCATTAATGCTGCCTCACCCCTTCCTCTCTTGACCCTGCAGTAGGCCGTGACCTTCGGAGGCCCGATCTCAATTAATTAATTATCAATTAACCCTCTCTGGCCCTTAACATCACAAAAGTCCACACGCACAGACTCTCCGACACAAGCGCTACAGGAAACCGCGCTTCCTCGGCCTACTTTCCCAAGCCCTGCTGGGAACTGCTGTTATTAAAGCCAAACATTGCGCTACTGTAAAAAAAACAGAAAACATATGCAACACCATTTCCGCCGGGTGTAGTCCCGGATTGCACGGCATGCTGGGAGTTGTAGTTTTTGTGCCAGTGTTTGCTCCCACCCTGCCCCCCACCCCCGCCATCCCCCTCCCTATTTCCGGAGCTCCTCCTTCTTCTCCCCGTCCCGCGCTCTCCCCTGGCCAGGCCCCAGCAGGGAGCCCAGCCCGATGCAGCCCGCGGCGACGAGCTGCATGCAGAAGTAGACGGAGCTCCAGTACCTCAGCGTGTCCTGGAAGGACAGCAGCACAAAGCCCATGCACATGTAATCGTAGGCCCTCATCTTGAGGAACCAGTGGGTCCAGTCGAACGCCGCCTGGCCCCGGGGCCCCAGCCGGGCCCGCAGGCTGCGCTCCATGGCCGACTCGGCCGCCATGCACAGCGGGATGGTCAGGAAGGACATGTAGTAGCCTGGGTGGAGGCCGTGCCAGTAGGCGCTGATGAACATGGTCCAGGCAGCCCTGAGAGAGAGAGAGAGGGAGAGACACGTCTCACTGCAGCGGAGACTCCTCAACTGACTTCCTCAGCTCTTGGAATCCAGCTCCCACAGTATCCGATCTGGCCATGGGGACGCAGGCATTGCACAGCTCACACACTGGGGCAGCGTTTCAGTCCCTCTGTGCTGCTACTGATATCTGGTCAGCGATCTAGCGAAAGCATTTCTTGTTTCGGCTGCTTGCGGTTTTCACTGAGAGGGGGGAGGACGCCGCCGACTGGGGCTTAAAATCGGGGAGAGGCCAACGAGAAGGCCGGGGGGTTAATATAGACAGTGGATAAAGCAGTCAGGCACCCCGTGTGAGGCGGAGACGACGACAGAGAGAGGAGGGAGCGCACACGGACGCACACTATGCAGCCGGCGGTACCTGAGGACGTAGGGCCTGAAGGGGGCGCTGGTGTAGATGTACTGGTGGAGCCACCACTGCACGGTCATGTTCCAGTACTTCATGCCGTGACGCACCTTCACGCAGAAGTCCGTGTTGTAGCAGTCGATGTTCCTGATGGTCTCGAAGTCATAGAGCACCGGGGCGTCTGCCGGAGCACTGAAACAGAGCACGGGCAGCAGCATGTGACGACCCTGCAGTCACACTCCCACAGTGTTATTACAGTCCGGCACACAGAGCTTAATATCGCCCTGTCCAGAGAAAAACACAATGCTGCACTGTAATAACCCTGTAATAACATATCACCTGTGTTATTACTTTCTAGCTTTATATCGCATCACTTGGCCCAGAGACTGTACTGGCACCCAGATATTGTGTTCCACTGTCATAACATGGTAATACCATGCCCATAGTGTTATTACAGTCTAACACACACGTGGCTTAGTAATAACTGTGTAATAACACATCCACAGTGTTATTCCATTAGCTGTGAACATTTCAGGAACAAAACCCTGCTGAATAAAGAGGACGGGGGGTAAGATTCACAGACATATGGAGCTGGAATAAGTGGGGAAATCATCAGGCACAGCTTGGCCTTGTGCACCGCGCAGGGACAGACGCGTACGCTGCAGGCCCGGCTCCCGCACCTGTACTGGACGGTGGGGCCGCCCCCGGATCGGGACGCGGCCCCCACGGGATAGGCCCCCAGGCCCGCGCTGATGCAGCTGGCCTCCGCCGAGCACCAGGCCGCGTAGAACCTCATCCGGAACACGAAGAAGATGGCCGTCATGTAAAACAGCCTGGAGACACACAGGGAGAGAGGGGGAGGAGGGTGAGGAAGGTGCAGGAGTCTTGCACACTCACACGCAGACCTGTCACGATCGCCATCCCTCCTCTAGAGGGCGCTCCGGCCCTTCTGTGTTTTAGTTTCGTCATCACGTACACCTGTTCCTGGCTTCACCGGTACTATTTAAACCTCGTGCCTCTGATGCCTGGCGCTCCGCAGTGGATGACGGACGCCCGGAGGCCCGCCTAGCGTCAAGTCACCCCACGCCCGCGGCTTGAGGGCACAAGCTTCTGTTTGGCGTCCTGACCCAGCTGAGTCCGGGGCTCGGAGTGCCTGGCCTCGTCACTCCCTTTTAATTTCCTAGTTCCTTGTCCCTGTTCCTGTTTTTAATCGTCTTGTCCTGGATGGATCACCTAGTTTTGAATTTTGGACTGTGCCCTGAATTTCCTACACTGGACAGTTTTTAGACTTGTTTGCTTGCTCCCATTCCAGACCTGGGAGTGTCTGAGAGATGGAGAAGGAGGGTGAGGAAGGTGATGATTTCTGATTGTCTGAGGTTGTGAGTAAATCCGATCACTTCCAGCTGACAACCGTGGGCACAGGGCAAGTTATTGTGCCAGAACATAAGAGCATATCTCACTGTCTTACTGCGGACGAGCCTGGTTTTTCAAAACCCGACTGTGTACTTTTTTCCCCATGTTAAAAAAACTGTGTTTCATTGAGGAAAACCCAGTCTGTGGCACAGTGAAAGCGTGGAAATGAATCCTTCCCCCTCTGAGCGAGTATACCAATGATTTTGTTTTCTTTCGGTTTACGATAAGATGACTTTATTGGCCATATGCAATTTAAGAGACTGAGTGCAGACGTTTTATAGTCATGTTTCCCCCCCCCTTCTAAGGCCTATTTATGTATTTTGTTGTATCATACACATTTGTGAAGAAAGTAAATAGGCTGATTGTCCAGTGTAATATACTGCAAAGTAAAGGGCAAAACTGGGTACACAAGCAATCACTAGCAGGAGCACTGTTGAAATTCCTGAAAAGCCTAATAATTGATTCCCGGTTTGTTCAGGCGGACGTGCTCCCAAATTAAAGGTTTCATTCTTTTCGTGCAATTGACTCAAGTCATCATCCAGCCATTTAAGAATCTAGATCGTCCCATGTATTATATGTGGATTTAATTTTAATACCTCTGGGCAGGGTTAAACTTGCCTTAACATTCTCAATGCACTCCAGGTTTGCCCACAAGATAGTTTGGTCCCGTGAGGGAAATTACAGAAATGAAGACAAGCACACCCAACGTCAACACCCAACACGCCCACTATCGGCAAGCCTTGAATAAAATGAATTTTCGATGAACCCCACGATCAACCCAAATCAAGTCACAGTGCGTTCATGTGAAATTCAAGCTCGAAGACACTACTGCCCTTCCGAAATCAGATTCCAGATCAGATTCCAGATCAGATTCCTGGTGTATGCCGTTGCATAGATCCGGGAATTTTAAAGTGTGACTCGGACAAAAAAACAGAACCAGACAGGAAGACGAGATACGAGACAAGAGACTGAGGCTGTGGGGTCGTCATGCCCACCGGTACAGGAAGTGGCGTTCCAGGAAGCTGTCCGTGCGCACGTAGGCAAGGGGGAAGAGGGCGTTGGCACCCACAAAGAGCGCGGCGTAGACGGGGACGAAGCGCAGGCGCCGCAGACAGGGGTCCCAGCTCGGGATGGAGAGGGGAGCCGACTGGTGGACCCAGTCGCTGTAGGTCTGGAAGCGGAAGAACGGGCCTGTGGAAGAGACGGATCGAGGGAGAGACGGGGACAAATCTCAAATCGGTGTGTGGACATTCGTTGTCGGACAGGTGGTAGGGGTGGGACTGTATCAAAAGTAGCTCGTAAGCCACAGCAAAAAGAAGTATAGGAGCTTCCCAGGAGTGTGTCTACAGGCCATCTAAAGCAGGCAAGTGGCTCGCTGTATAAAGAGATCTGAAATGTATGTAGCACGAGAGACTTGACATGAATGGGAGACTTCAACTTCCCACACAAAACATGGGACACAGAGATGGGGAATACTGAAGGTCAAACTGATATCCTGGTCACGTCCTAGCCCTGTTTGTAAAGCCCTCCGCTAGGACGGATGCTTTTGCGGGCCTATACCCTTCAAACCGTCAGGACATAATTAACATTGGGTTAATTGGATGTAGTAGCAGTACACTAGCAAAGGATTATTGCTGTTATCACTAGCTGATTGGGACTCGTGTGATTGGCAAGTTGCAATAATGGCCAGGATGCCGGGGTTACACCCCTAGTCTTTTCAAGAAACACCCTGGGATTTTTAATGACCACAGAGAGTCAGGACCTCGGTTTTACGTCTCATCCGAAAGACGGCGCCTGTTTACAGTATACAGTGTTCCCGTCACTATACTGGGGCATTAGGACCCACACAGACCGCAGGGTGAGCGCCCCCTGCTGGCTCCACTAACACATCTTCCAGCAGCAGCCTTGGTTTTCCCCAGTAGTCTCCCATTCAGGTACTGGCCAGGCTCACACTGAGCTCCAGTGGGGTTGCCAGCTGGGAGCTGCAGGGTGATACAGCTGCTGGCTGAGAAATGAATAAATCACCTCCGGAGAGACAGCTGGGATATCAGCAGTGCCTAGCTCTTGAGAAAATGGAGGGAAACCCTTACAAAGGGATTTAAGGTCAACACAGACTCACAGTCTGTACTCACCAGTCATGATGCCGATGTAGCAGTAGCTATAGGAAATGACATCATAGAATGAGGGCTCCTGGGTCAAGCCACCAATGACTGGAGACTTGGTGAACGAGCTCACTTCCTCTTTCTTAGCCAGGTGGAAGGCCCGCACCTCATTGGCTAAGCTGACCATCTGAGAGGGAGGGAGGGGCAGAGAGAGAGAGACAGCCAGAGATGGAGTCAAACAGGGAAAAGGAGGTCAGGCAGCAATTTCGTGGAGGTCGTGGGTAACGGGCATACACGTGCACGCTGGCCGATTGATTGGAAATAACCTGGAGAGAAAGAGGAAAAAACACACAAGGGTACAAAGGATACAAAGGCCGGAAAACACGCGGGCAGACATCTGTCCTGTACGTAAAGAGTCAAAGAGAGATACACAGAGACGATGATGACACTCGAGGAGCCAGACAGGCAGGAAGACACACAGAGAAACCCACTGAAACAGACCACTTTGCCCACACAGATTCAGACAGCCTGACAAACCTTAAGGGTGAGCAGCAGCAGCACGGCGTTGGTGAAGGGGGTCGGGGAGGGCAGGCCGAACCAGGTGACCAGCCGGAAAAACAGCAGGTAGAGAAACGTCCAGCCAAGAGACAGCGAGGGAGCGAGCCTGGAGAGAGGGCAACAGGTGGGAGGAAACAGAGGTTAGACTGGTAACGAGGGGCCGCGCCTGACCCTGGCGTCATGGGTTGAAGTCTGGGTCATGTCACTAGGAGATTCTGATTGGGATTCCTCAAACGGAAGTGCACAGTGGCCTCTTGGGTGCTGCCAGGAATGTGGTGTTGTCAGGGAAGGATGCATCTCTCCTCCAATCGGTGTGGGGCTGTGGGGGAGGGATGCATCTCTCTTCCAATCAGTGTGAGGCTGCAGCTGACAGACGCATCTCGCCTCCAATCACCAGGGAGCCTCCGATATGGGGGCTTTGCTGCCTGTGATGTGTCAAAAGACGATTGGCTCATAGGTGGGTGGTCAGAGCCTGTTTGCACTTCCTCAATCTCTCCTGTGTGCGGTCACAGGGTTCATCGCTGTGAGGCGAGACATGCAAAACGCAAAAGCTGGCGATTCCAAAATTGGGCAGTTATCATAAAAACACACAAGATTCTAAATCTTTTTTTCAAGCAAGGGTGTCAGTCAATCGGTTAAACAGGAAAAAAGTGGCGTGCTTGGCAGCCTTGTGCCCACTGCTTGCTGGGATAGGCTCTGACTCTCTCGCGACCCTGAATTGGAGGGAGCAGTTAGAAAATGGATGCAAGGCTGTCACATCTACGTAAACTTGTGGGAACAGCTCAGGTGCAGATTAGGCGAATCGGACCACACCAGTCCACCCCCGATGTGCTCAGGTTTGAGAGCTATTCAAGAAACAGGAAGAGGGCATCATCTCAGCTCATGTTCTTGGGCAGATGTCAGCAGTGGTTTGCCGCAGGGACACCCAGCCCCAACCTATTTTAGGGATTTTGACTCTGGTACAGTTAGCAAACGAGTTGAATGCGCAGATGAACCGAATGTGGTGGGGCCAGAGTTTGGGGTTCGTAGGCCCTGGGCACTTTCACTCCCAAATGTGCAAGAAGAGGGTGTAAGATGACCAGGGGAAGGGTCATTCATGACGGGTATTTCCGGAACAACATGCTTAATATACTCGATATAGACCTGAGCAAAATGGCCGCCAAGAAGAACCAGCTGACCCGCTTATGGAAAGGGCCTATTCAGTGAAACAACAAGACACAGGTGAGCCGCATCAGAAAACAAATATAAGTGCCCTGGAAGCGGTGAGCCGGCGCGGACGTCAATAAGGTGAATGTGGTTTGGAGGAGAGTACTCAGTACAAGTACTCGGCAACAGCATGTCCCTGCCAGCCTCTGGGAACTGCACAGGCTCCCATCGAGAACTGGCCTTGCTGGTTCTCCTGCTCCGTGTCGTGCATCAGGGAACGAGCTGCCGAAGAATGGAAGGATTTAGGGTACGCGTCCAGCTCTTAATCTGCAATCTGCAGACAAGAGTCTGCTTTACACAAAGAGTGGTGGGTGCCTGGAACGGGTTTCCCCAGACTGTGGCCTCTACCAAACAACCTCCGGTCGGTTTTGTAAGCCGCCTGATGCCCCTTTCTCGCGGGTCATCCGGTCAGGACCTCAGTAGGGGGGTGCCAGTCTCACCTCCAGTTGAACTTGATGATGGCCCATGTGCCCAGCACCATGACCAGAGAGTGCAGGCTGTGGACTCCGCAGGTGGCAAGCGTGATGGCCAAACCCAGGACCAGAGCCAGCAGCTGCTTGACCGCCGGACCTGTTCCGATCGGGAAGATGGGAGAACGTGAGGGAGCCGGACTGGGCACGCTGGCTCCGCTGCAGGCTGCGGTCTAACTGCGTGCCCTCGTCTTCCCGGCGGTCACTCACTGAAGTGGTGGAAGGCAAAGCCGACCGGAATGGAGCCGGCGATGACGCAGAAGTAGACCAGCTCCTCTGGGGACATGGCTCCGCGGGGCCAGAGCTCAGCTGTGAACAGAGAACACCCCTCACTGAGCTGTGCCGTCCTTCAGTATCGTGCTTAGTATTAAACAGTGCTGTTCCGCTCACCAGTTCGCCTCTCAGTACTCTACACACACCTCACTCGACCCACTTTCAGGCAGTAGGCATTACCATAGACAGCACTGAGCACACACTGCACACTGTACAGTACATACCGCCAGCAGCTACATCACCCTGCAGCTCCCAGCTGGCAGCCCCCCTGGAGCTCAGCAGGTGTGAGCCTGGCCAGTATCTGGATGGGAGACTCCTGGGAAAGCTGAGGCTGCTGCTGGAAGAGGTGTTAGTGGGGCCAGCAGGGGGCGCTCACCCTGCAGTCTGTGTGGGTCCTGATGCCCCAGTATAGTGATGGGGACACTATACTGTAAACAGGCGCCGTCCTTCGGATGAGATGTAAAACTGAGGTCCTGACTCTCTGTGGTCATTAAAAATCCCAGGGTGTTTTTCAAAAAGAGTAGGGGTGTAACCGGTGTCCTGGCCAAATTCCCCCCTGGCCTTTACCCATCATGGCCTCCTAATAATCCTGGACTGGCTTCATCACTCTGTTCTCCTCCCCACTGAGAGCTGGTGTTTGGGGAGAGGACTGCACACTGGTGGTGGTGGAGATGTTCCCCATTTCCTGTACAGCACTACACTGTATAGTACATATACAGTTTCACAGACTGTACACTCTACATATACAGTACATGCACTGTTTCACAGACTGCAAATGCACTACACTGTACAATTTCGCAGAGTGTGCACAGACTCACACAATTAGTGTAAATTAGTGAAACAGTGAATGTGCTGTACAGTGTAGTGCGTGTGTAAAGGTTGTACAGTACATATACATTTTCTCTAGTTTGCATTAATTGTGTGAGGCATTTCACCATTTATAGCTATATCGGGTTTTTTAAAATGTTTAAATTATAAATACAAAGTCGAATGTGCAATATTAAACGTCATGGTTTCAAGCTCAGAGAGCAAAACAAATGTGGAAACTTTGCAGGGGAAAGAACAATGTAAAGCATCATACATTTATTGAAATAACAAGGCGATTCTTTACCACGTACAGTGCTTTATAAGAGTTGCGTAGCTGACACAGCTCATCAGAGATTGTAATTCGAGATAATGGAGATTGTAAGATATCTAACCGGGTTTTACAAAACCGCAACAGTTTAGATTACATTTAATTTTTTTTTATAAAACAAAATCCAGCACCTTTACAAAATAAAACAGGCGCCGAACTAGAACTAGTTTTGAAAATGATAAGATACAAGAGGAATACGCGTTTCAATCAATGAAAACTTATTCATGTTTATTTAAAATCGCTATACTGTATATTGACCCCATATCAATGAACCACCTGTACGAAATTCTCAGAAAATCTTTTTCTAATCCACAGTTTTCTCATTTGATTCGGATACTTCAAAGACAATATCAGTTATGATTGTTTCACTCACCGATTCAGATACGTGCTCTAACCTTTGATTATTAATTCCTGCAAACGTCGATCGGCCACTTCCTACAATGGACAGCAATTTAAACCCAGACTCCAGGAGAAATACCGCCCCGTAATCCCATTGGCTACTGTACGAGTTGCTCCCGCCTTTTAATCGTTGTCTGTAAGTCTATTGGATAAAACAGGTGCCAATCGATTTGGGAGGCCGGGTGTTGCGGTGAAAAGGTTTCCGGTGAGGAAACACACAAACAAAAAGAATGATTTGAGTTGACTTGAAAAATGTGTTGCAACTTCTGGGCAGAATTTCTCTTGCTCCCATTTACTGAAAGCATGCCAGATTGCGGAGGAAAATAGCCAGGCATTGCATTGAACATCATGTGCCCGCTCACGGTGGAACGGCACTAGCAAATCATAAAGTTTACAGTGGACACGAAACGTGCTTGTCAATTCAGGTTTACACCTTACAGAGAAGGCAGCCATTAGATAAGAGGGAGACAGGATGTTGAGAAAATGTGTTTTGCGCAATCCCTCTAAACGGCGATATCGCGGAAATACCCAGTGAAAGCTTCTAAGAAATAAAAAAAAATAAATAAGGGCATCTCTCCGGGGTGTGAATCCATCAGCATTGCGGAGAGTGTAGTTTAACCTCAGAAAGTTTCGTTCTGGGGTCACTTGGCTACTGAATTAGGAGATTGTCCTGTCCTGGTCTCAGTGGGCCAGATTTTGCAGGCATATTGAAAGCACCAGCACCTGAAGAATTGTGAGAAATTGGTTATCGGAGCAGCAAAAAAAAGGGGGAGGGGAGGGGGGCAGACGCAATGGTAAGGCATCTGGTTACCAAGCCTATAATGAAATCACTGGATGTTACGTTAGAAATGTGCGATGCATTGGTAAGACTTCATGTGGGTTACACGACTGTGTTACAGAAATGATTCCGCTGGTCTGGAATCCATCCGGAGAAGAGCAAGCAGATACATTCAGGAGTGTAAGAGCATGTCTTAAACTCCTGATGCTGGACGGTAATGGTGGATTATATTAGAATATAGTATATTATACCCTACACTGACAGCCTGAAGGAAATGCACCTCTTTAGTCTTCAATCGAGGAGAAGACAAGGATATAAGAATTAAAAACCCTCAAAGGCGCCGACAGTCAACAGTTAACAAAACAACAACAGTGGAACCACAGATCACACGTGTAAATCTTGCGGAAGTGCGTTAACGTCCGTCCACAGGAGGCGCTTCTTCGTGCACAAAGAGTAGTGGGGGTGTGAAACAAACTGCCCAGCCATATAGATGAAGCCGACACCCTCATCAGATCAATTATTACCAAATGGGCTATTTTTTATGTTATTTTATTTCAAATGTGTTATTATTATTTTTAGGAACAAGTAAAGGTTTATTCCAGGCTGAAAAGAGAAGAGAAGAGACACAGCGTTTCGGCTGTGGTGCCTTATTCGGGAGTCTTTATTTTATTTTTTACGTTATTTTAATCAATCGCAGCACGCTTTTAAATAGTTACAGGTCAAAACCGCGTTATTGCAGCGGTTATCACGCTTCGACATGGGGGAACTCCTGTGTGCTCTGGGTTGTGTTCTCGCGTTTTCAGCGTGTGGACTTTGCTTGTATGACTGACTATCCCCCCGCGTTTTGTTCCTGCGGGGGAAAAAAATCAGCGTCCCCTTTTTTAAATTCAGGAAGTCGGACTGAAGGGCGCGTCCCAAGCACAGAAAAACTACAAGTCCCAGCTGTACGTGCCGCAGAGAAGTCTGGGAAACGCACGTTTACGTCCTTATAAATCCGCGCCGAGCGCTGCGCACGCTCTCTTTTGCATTACTGAAGCCTGGGAGTCAGGTAATGGCCGACGGCGTGGCGCTGCATTTCCTTCACATTTAAGATTTTAGGCGATGAAAGAATAAGATAGCGGCTGGTTTCCGCTCGGGAATCGCGCCTGTGAGGCTCCAGCGCGAGGAATTGGGGGGTTTTGTTCCCCGCACGAAGCCGAAGCGGGGCGAGTTTTCCAGACTGGGTCCCATGTGCCCGAGATGCGGTGCTGCTAGGCTGCGGCCCCGCTGTCCGGATCTCCCCCCGAGCGAGGGAAAAGAGATCGCCGATGGCCTGAGCTAGTGTTTACGTGCGCGTTTGCAGGCGCTCTGGTTGCTTATTGCTCGGGTGGGGGCGGATTTCGTTTTGATTGTTGAGCTGGTCCGTGTGACGCGCCGGGATCTGCTGCTCCTGCACATGGCCGGCGAGGCCCGGTGTGGCACCCTACGATATACGCCTTCTTGGCAGCTCGTCCTTCTTGATCGCCGGGGAGGGGGGTGGACGCAGTTCATCGTTTTGTTGGGATCGGGCGCTGTAAATGACGTCGGGGCCGTATGTTGCTGGACGTACAATGTTAATCCCGGGTTTAAAATCCATTTTAGGGTCGTTAGACACACCGGTTTTGACAGCGTCACAATAACCCGGGTTAGTGCACCTCGACGTCTTTGCGAATGGTCAGTTTCCTGAGTTTCGGCCTTAAAGGGGGAAAATGTTTGGATCTGCCGCTTGACAAACAATTTTCGTCGTTGTAGCGGTTATGGTCGTTTTCTGTGACAGTGCTGGGTTTCATTAGCAGTGTTGCTCAAATCCTAAAGCATAGTACTTTGGTTATTGGATGCGCAGACAAATTAGGTCGCTTATTACAGTTTACCCTGTATTAGAGCTTCTTGTCATTCTCAGTGCATTTTCTTTTGAAATGTGTGTAGTTTAATACGCGATTCACCGGTTCGGAAGGCTGCTGCTTGGGTGGACTTGATCTGTGAGGGGTTTTGAGTTATCGGATCAGGTGGTCTTGCCGTCTCCGCTGTTGAACACTAAGAGTTCGGTTCCTTCAGCCTGTCAGGGGTGGAAGGGGGTGGTGTTGCTTCAAGCCCAGGAATTTTCAGAGCCCAGTGATCAAAATCATCCACTGTATTCTGGGTGAGGCCTTGCTGCTGTTTGGCAATAAAGCAAATAGTAATATGTGGGGCATTCCAAACTGCAGTCTGAGCCGAGCTACAAGGTTTACAGTAGAATGCAATTCTGTTGTCCACCAGCACTGAATGGTGTGGCAAAAACGTGCCCTGTGATACTTTTAATACATGTGGAACATTCTGAAAGTTACTGTTTGAGAGGCAGGGCACCCGTCTGGTGAAATGCTAAGTGATTTATTACATTTTAAGATCTGCCATCTATGTTGTCTTTATTGCCATCCCTTCAGATATAATTTGATATAGTATAGGTAGTAGTCTTGTTTTTTGGAGTGGGGTCTCCCCACACTGTTATAAACCAGGAACAGGGCCTTTAATGTGCTGAAATGAATGTAAAACTTGTAACTGCGCTTAAACCTTCACTAGATCAGGTAACCAAGTCAGGCCCACAGAGATGGGACAGGCATGGCGCCATGAGCTGTCCTGCAGTGCAGGTGGTGCAGCAGTGCATGAGCACCCCCTAGTGGTGAAGCCTGGGAAATCAGCTTTTCCTCTCCACAGTGATTTTCCTCTTCGCCTCCCCTGCAGGCTGCGTTGACCCAAGATGCCCGTTGCCAGGAGCTGGGTTTGTCGTAAGACCTATGTGACCCCCCGCCGCCCCTTCGAGAAGTCCCGTCTCGACCAGGAGCTCAAGCTCATCGGTGAGTGGCCCTTGCTTGCCCAGGTTGGGCCGGACAGGCAGCGCGGCGCTGTGGGTTGGATCGGTGCCTGGTGGTCAACCGGAGTCGAAGCCGAGCCGCCCGAGTCCTTTAAGGCAGTGGTTCCCAGTCCCGGTGACCCACACGCCTGCTGGTTTTCATTCCAGCCCACCTTCATCAGATCAGTGAAGCCTAATTTGCTCTAAGAAGGTGCTTCAGTTTAATAGCTGGGGTTTTATGTCCATCACAAAAAAATGACTCCCATGTTGAAGACCAGGGAACAAACCGTTGGGATGAAATCTTCTTGAATCCACGAAGGGTTTGATTGTGGAACTGAGGGCTCGACGGGATTTAAAAACACCCAGCAGGCGTGAGGATGACCAGGATTGCGAACCGCTGTGTTCCGAGCTGCCAAGCAGACCCTGGGGGAACTGGGAGATTTTCTAGAGGCTTGATTGCAGGGGAAGAGGGCGTGCTGCTCTCTGCGTGTCCTCCTGTGCTCGCCCAGTCTCTGGCCTGTGATTTAAACAGAACTTGTCAGAACCTCTGTGGTGTCAAGAATTCCTCGTCAATGAGGCCAGGGGCGAGGGGCTGTCTGGAGACAGGAGACCACTGTCGAGCTTGGCTGCTCTTCGTGTGCTGTTCTTGTTTCAGTCTGATAGTGGTAGCCAGGTTGGGAGACCCCCAGGATGGTTATTTAATAAAGCATATCTGCTTCCATGTAGTGTCCTTGCCTTCTGCTGCCGGGACAGTGACTGCCATCCCGTTTCGCAGTCCTGGTGGAAGTTAAACACTTTGCCGTCTGTTTTCTGGCTGCATCCCTGCAGGGCTGCCGTACCGTCCTGTTTGTAGACATCGGCTCTGGGAGGATTGTAGCGCGCGTCGCGTGGGATGGTGCTCCGCTCCAGCGACCGGCGGTGTAGGGGCCTTTTCTGACGGACCGCACGGCAGGGGGCATTAATTGAGTGTTGACCCGGCTTGAATGTGCGCCTCTCTTCTAGGGGAGTACGGCCTGAGGAACAAGCGCGAGGTGTGGAGAGTGAAGTTCACCCTCGCCAAGATCCGCAAGGCCGCCCGAGAGCTGCTCACGCTCGACGAGAAGGACCCCAAGCGGCTGTTCGAAGGTATGCCTAACTGATGTTACTCGGTTCTTTTTTTATTTTAAAGGCATGTGGCCGTTTCTGTAACGGGTTGCGGCTTCTATTTCAAATTGGGTTTTTGGGGTTGCCCCAGAAAACGGGGCTAACTCCAGCCCAGCGTCGGGTCTCTCTAAAGCCGATGATTTAAATTACAGTTGTCAGAATTTCTGTGTTGTCACGAATTCCTCGTCAATGAGGCAGGAAAGAGACCTGATGGCTGAGCTCGGAATGAGCTTCCTTCTTCTAGACCCCATTGAGAAAAGGAGAAGTTGAACTGAAATCCAGGAAATTGGATTTTGAGTTTGCAGACTTGGAGCCCCCAGGCTGTGGTCATTAAAAATTCCAATGTGTTGCCCTGAAAGAGTGGGGGTGTTACCCCGGTGTCCTGGCCAAATTTCCCCCTGGCCTTTACCAGTCATGGCCTCCTAATAATCCCCATCTCTGAACTGGCTTCATCCCTCTGCTCTCCTCCCC